CGGGAACCCAAGAGGCAAGCGAATTTTGGGAATGATGAGGGCAACAAATGTATAGATGTGCTCTACACAATTGATCTATGTATTGTGATGAATTTGTATGAGCCCCAATAAATTGATTTGAAGAAGAAAAAAAAAAGACCAGCATGCCCTACCTGCCCACCTGTCCCCCCATGGAGCCCACCACTGCCCTCATCTAGCAGGACAGGAACTTCAGGTTGGCTCCCTGTCACCCACCTGCCCCTGCCCTCAATGACTGCCAGGCCTGTGACTCCTGGGACTCCGCACCCTTTCACCTGCCCATCCCTGGTCCTCACTGCTGATCTCAGAGAGACCTGGGCCCCTGCTACTGGGGTTGGGGTCCCTCCTAGCATTCCAGGGCTGCTTAGACCCTGGGGCCCCCATGTGTCCTCCGGGTAACCAGCCCCTGCTGGTCTACCAATGGAGCAGGTTAGAGTTGAAAATGATCTCAGGGCCTAACCCAGACTTGTTCCCCACCCCCACACCGACCAGGACCACTTGGGCTGGGTGCATGACTACAGTGGAGGAGGGGAGGGGGGCAGGGGTGTGCTGGACGGAGGGCAGGGGGATGGGTCGGACCGGCTAGAACTGTTCTGAAACCTGTCTGCAGTCTCAGGCTAAATTCAGCAGTTGAACAGATCTAGGGGGCCGGTGTGGACTGGAGGTGAGCCCAGCCACCAAGCCTGCCTGCAGTCCTTGGGGAGCACGGGTAACAGCAACAGTAATCAGAGTGCTCACTGCTCGGAGTCCTGGTGGCCCTGTGGTGGAAGTGCTCATACCCGCCGGCCACTCCTCCAGAGAAGCTGTGGCATCTGCTTCTAGACACATGTCCAGCCTCAGAAACTTGCGTGGGCAGTCCCGCTCTGCCCTGTAGGTTCACCATGAACTGACTGGACAGCGATGAGTTTGGGGGTGTTTGTTTGCTTTTGATGTGACAAGGCCAAGCTAACCTTTTTATTTGTGAATTGACAAGTAATGGGATCTTTATTGATTCCTTAATGGGAGCCTTCGCAAAAGAGTGGTCATGGGATGGCCTCTTATACTCATGGGGACTGTGAAAAAGCACAGTCATGGTGCCCCCTCGTTCAGAGCCCGCAAAGGCAAAGGGTCTGAAGAAGCGGCTCCAGCCCACTTCCCCCACCTCAGCTGCGCACCGCTGCCTGATAGGGACCAGGCCCTCCCAAGGGTCTTTGCCCAAAGTGGGAGAGCAATCTGGGGTCTGCCTGTCCCAGGAGGGCTCCCCAGTGCATGTGGGCACATGGCGACTCAGGCAGTTAGACTCAGAGTTAGTGCCCACCTAGCACATGCGGGCCTCCCCACAGGCCGCCCCAGGGGCTGCCCGGCGGCACCCTCTGGAGGCAGAGCATCTGGAGCTGTGATGAGCAATATGCTAGTGAAGGTCTCTTTGCCGACTAGGGTAGCCCCTGCTCTGTTGGGGAGCCCATTTGTCAGTCAGAGGACTCGGGCCCTTTCCTGTCAGCACCCCACCTTTGAAGCCATGGGTGGGAGGTTCTGGCTGTGAGTGTGGTGGGGTGAGGCGGGAGCTGGGGCCACACATGAGTCAGGCGAGCAGGCTTGCTGGCCTCAGGCAAGTCACTGCCTCCTCTCTGTGGCTCATGGGACCATGCCTGTTCCTGCACACAGTAAAGGATCATCTTGATTGATTGATTGTGTGTTTTGTTTGTCTCTGTATGTCTCTGTGTCTCTGGGTGTGTACGTGTGTGTGTTTTGTTTGTCTCTGTGTGGTATGTGTGCGTGTAGTGTTTGTCTCTGTGTGTGTTGTTTGTCTCTGTATGTCTCTGGGTGTGGTGTGGTGTGGTGTGTGTATGTGGTATTTGTCTCTGTGTCTCTGGGTGTGTATGTGTGTGCGTTGTTGTCTCTGTATGTCTCTGTATGTGGTGTGGTATGTGTGGTGGTTGTCTCTGTGTCTCTGTGTGTGTGTGTGTTTGTATGTGTGTGGTGTGGTGTGTGCCTGCTTGCAGGACTGGGCATCGGCTCAGTTTATTTGCTGCTTAATCCTGTGCTGCCCCACGCCCCATCCCCTACCCCTGAGGGTGATCTTGCTCTCCTGTGTGTCTTCCTGGTCTGGGGTCCGAAGGCACATCCCCTGTTCCCCCAGGAATGAAGGACATTAGGTGGTTGGGG